CCGGATCTGCTCTGTAAGGGTGCTTCTTCTATAACGCATGCGATATCTTGGCTAATCACCATAGATTCCCAAATTTCTCCTCACGTGAGACAGAGCCTACTTGAAACTGACCAAACTGTCTGTAAGTCTTTCCAATCTGAGCTGAACTACTGGGTGAAATGATTGTGTTATTGCTTCGGCACCACTTTAACCTGCAACACTGATCGATCGGCGGCAGGTCTCTTTACTAATTCATTGGCTGAGATCCCTCTGGGGGTCAAACCGGGTAGTATGGTGCAGCAACCGTTGTATCATTTGGGATTCAATGCACTCATCAACACAGTGAGGTGAACTCTTGGGCATTCTCAAGCTTTGTGTTGAAGCGAATGCGGAACGTGTTGTTTCCGTTTATATTTACGTTGGTCAGCCTCCTTGAATGCAGACTATCCGCTCGATACGTGATTATTGTTGCAGGCAAAATATGATACAACTTATGTGTTGTGTGACGAACTCGTTCATAGTTATCCGTCGCGACAGAAATTGTGCCACTCCATTAGTGTCGCGAATAAAAGACCGATCTCAGGTGAAATAATCTGTCCGGGCACATTATTGTTCCACGCAAATCAAAGGAAGGAAAACAGGAAAGTGAACACAAGGAGAAGCACGTCCAGTCGAAAAGATTAGTTCACTGGCTTTAGTTGAGCCAAACAAACTGCAAATAACCTGACAGACTTGTTTGATTAGCTTTTAATATTGTAAAAGTTTTAGTCACCTTGTGACTACGCGCAAACGTCGCCCATCAGCAACCAACTGGACTGACGGTGCCGCACTTGCAGCATATGCATGGGCTATACCACTGTCAACAATCAAAGTGCCAACATTCAGTTTATATACAACTTGTTTATATATTCATTTATCAGTTCATCTGCACTTGCGGTGAAAAAGTATGTCAGAGGATCTGATCGGCTGCTTTCATCACCAGTAAAAGTACAAATGACCAAAGAACTCCGTACTCAAAGAACTCAGCTCAACCCAGACTGAACCTGGTCGAGACCAGGAGCTGATTGTCCATCGCTAGGCATCGAATTGACATATATCACGGAGATGGACTCAGCTAACCGCCACGTGTACAACATGAAACAGGCGGCCACAGAGGTCGCAGTTCTTTGAGGCCATACTGATGAGTTGTCTTAAGCTTGTCCCCAGCACTTAGAAAGACAGGTATTACTGCGTCTGCCTTGGTCTAATTTGTCAGTCACGTTTTCAGAATTGTACGCTGCGTTGAATTATTTATCTTCCACTGTTTTACACGCTCTGCTGTGAAAGAGAGTGTACGGAACAAATTCATCCCACAGCCGTGTTGTTCTCACCACCTTGTTCAAACATCATCGATCGGTCATCACACGCGGAACATGCGTCAACAACATCGTTATTCGAAATGTGTCAAAACATTAGTCTAAGATTCGAATCACCTACTCATTATTGGTCTCGCACACGATGCGTGGGCGAACATTTCAAAAGATACTCTCGGCTGCCGAATAATGAGTACCAGTCATTTGGAGAAAACAGCTCCGATTTCTAAGACACAAATAGCTTTGAGATTTTAATGCCAAGGCTTGGATGAATATGGTTCAGACGGATAAGAACAGGTTAAGACATCATTGGTGTTTCAACTAAACACCCGGAAAAAGATTGCACTCGACAAGGTACTATGTACTTACAGTAGTGCTTGTTAACTGGTGCCCAGTATCCGTTCAAATCACACTGGTTTGAACTTTCGCTCATCTGACCGAGCATCAGCAAGTCCATGTCATCATAAAGCGTAGAACTCTTGTAAGTGCGTTCGTCGTACGTTGCGAGTTCGTATTTGCCCAATTGCACACCATCGATCTTTTGGTCGCTTTTCTCAAGCAGTTCGCAATCATCAACAGAAAATTGGCCGTCGTTGTATCGTTTTCGCGCGATCTGTTCCAACGTCGCATCGTATAAAGAATGGAAAGGAAATGACGACTCAATAGCCTAGTTGCTGAATGAAACCACTGAAGTTACATTGGCATCCAAAACATTTTCGCCTAATAAACCAGACGGATGTTCTATGTATGTAATACTTGAACCGTTTTGCGCTTCAAATATCAGTTTCTGCCAACTTTTGGTGCACTGACACTCTTTGCGTTTGTGTTCCGTACAACCGAGCAGCCGATGCATCAACTTCGCGGTGGAGAGATGAGAATAGAACCGTGCTAGACTGAGAAACGGAGACTGTGGCATCACTGTTACAAAAAAAGCTTGAGATGCATTTTGTCGCTAATATCATCAACCAAATCAGTTCCTTCAATAAATTATGGAAGTATATAAAGCCAGAACGTCGGAATAGTTAAACCAATACTGCCCGAGAGATATGCAAGTACATAATGATAGGTTGGGATCCCCGTCGCCACTTTCGTGTTGATTTTCGGGGCTTTAGAAGACTATTTTGTTGTTTGTCATGCTCGTGCATTCGAACATCATACGTGATTCACCCGGTCAATTATAGGCCCCTTGTGCACACCCCACACGGTGTTAAGTGCTCGCACACTCAATACAAAAAGAATGCGGTATGGTCGTATTGGACTACTTTTAAGGTTGCTGAAAATTCATTCGCAGCGCACGACCGGTTTCGCTCTTCTGGGAGCTCATAAGGTAGGCGCAGTCCCCGAGTCTCTGTCAGCCTTATGTTCTACCTTATGCTCTACTGTGGGCGAATTTTCAGAAACCTTGAGGCTAGTGCATCACAAATATGGACGTATCACGATATCTGGAATTTCGTAGGGACAGACACATGAGGCGACCTGGTGCAGCCTGGAAACATCACAAACGGGAGATTCAGCTGGGTTCCATGTGGGTCTCTCACAAAACCAACTTAGTTTGAAAATTAGTGTATTTCACTAGATCCGGTATAATTTTGAGGACTGAAATTGCTTTTCAAGTGTCCTATCTAAATACCTTGTGGAAAAGCAAATTTCTGTTCAACACTCAACAGTTTAGAACGCAGACCACAAAAAATGTTCAAATTTAACTTCGATTTTAAGTTGGAAGGTGAGTTACACTCACGTGCCGTTTTAAACATCATGAATTCAGCAGCTCCTGCGTTCAATTCAATTAATTCTGAGAATATTGGCTGACATTTCAGAAAGACGATACTCACAGCTTTTCTGAGACGGCACTAACCGAAACACCGATGCTTTCACCAGTCCTGTATTCTCATGCGATTAGTCATTGTAACTGAGCATGTTCCCAACACACATGCCATCGAGGCAACCAATATCCAAAGAGAAGCACCCCACATTCAGTGTTCATCATTTTCTACAAAGTCTTGTAGCCCTTGTTTGAATCACAGTTTCATCAATACAGCTGTCTTTCTGTTGTGGATCTGTTCATCGACATTGGCAGTCGGATTGCAAACATTTTATCACCGATAGAGATAAAATCATTATGGCTTTGGGTGATGTCACATCGATTTGGCACGAAAGGTTTGGAATTCAAATGCTAACCTCGACGAACGGGCCAATAATTAATCAGTGTGCGCGTTCGCCAGAAGTCTGCTGCTATGATGTACCTTGTCCTGAAATCTGATGAATACTTATGTAGAAACTTCCCAACAAATCTTTGTAATGTACTACTCGTAAGGTTGCTGAAAAGCTAGCCTACGATCGGTTTCGCCCTTCTTCGGGCTCATCAGGTAGGCGCATTCCCCTGGTTTCCGTCAACCTTATGTTCTACTTGAAACCAAATTGCACGAAATTAGCGAATATACACTCATTTGCAAACTAATTTGGTTCTTTCGAGGGACGCGTCTTCTAACTGCCTCGTTACGGATTCGCCGACACCAACACACACAAGCTATGGTTCTGAAATAACGACCGGTCTCAGTTCCGCTGCTCGAATAGGCCAAGTCTCACAGCCATACAACAGAACAGCCCGTACTGTAGCTTGATACACACGTCCCTTCAGATTCAGGGATAAACCATTTTGACGCCATAGGTGTCTCAAGTTAGCAAACGCGGCCCGAGCCTTGCAGATTCGTGCATTCACCTCATCTGTCACACTGCAATCAGAACTAATACAACTTCCAAGGTATGTAAAACGCTCCACAACTTCCAGTACCTCTCCCTGGATTGTAAGGGGCGTGTTCAGTGACTGCACGTCCACAAGCATGACCTTACACTTTGTGGGTGCAAAGTGCATACCAAACGACGGGATGAACTTGGTCAGTTCATGCAAAAATACTTGCGCCTTTTCCTCCTCTTCGAACATGAGAACGATGTCGTTTGCATATTCCACATCGACAAGGTATTTTCCACTGGCTATTTGAACACCAGGGTTTTGGAGGCCCTCCAGCGTTCGTCACATTATTTCATCGATCACAAAGTTCAAAAGGAATGGAGAGAGCGGGCATCCCTGATGGACACCGCTTTGTGTACCGAAGTAATTCGAGAGCTCTCCGTACACGCTCACACGTCCAAAAGTCTGTGAATACAAAGAAGGTATATCCATCCAGACGAACCGCACAGAGGTGGATATCATCAAGTATTCATTCAAACAAGGATACTTCCGCCCGGTGACTTAGGATTATACCAACCCCTGTACATCCTACCACAGCAGCTTCTGGATCACCAGAGGTACGTAGCCGGAATCGAGCGGAGAGTGATAAGGCGGTTAGCCCGAATTCTTGTTTCTCATAAACAGTACACATCAATGCCAAGAGAGTCCGGTCTGAGAGCAAGAGAAGCATGTTATCCTGCTTGCTTCAGAGTGCGGACATTCAAGGCGGCTAGATAGACTGGGTGTCGAGGCTTGAAGATTGATTTAGAAATCTTTGAGAATGTCGGCGCCATGTGAGAGTAGGTATTGTACAGAAAAAAACAGATGCAAAACGTCCTATGTGCAAGGCTCATAAAGTTCAAGTTATCAATGGGGTGGAGAAAGGGGGAGGAAAAAGTATGTGAAAGAGATAGAAAGGAGGCGCCAACAGCAACCTATTTTCACTTACCCGCCCTGATGTATGCAGTGGGTAGGGCGAGCTGGTTAGTGACACCACGCGACGGCCTATGTGGCATGGCAGTAGTGTTAGTTGTAAGTGTCACGGATTTACATGAGTTTGAATACTGTCAGGGAGCCCACAACTAGAAAAAAGGACGTTTAAAGACCTCAACCAGTGTTTGACTTAAAAGCTCAGTCGCAAAGCAGCGATGTTTGGCCGTTTCTACGGAACAGGTCGCCAACCTGCAACCTGGAGGACCGAGAGACTGTGTTTGTCAGACTAACAACCATTTACCAGCTTGGTATGGGAGACTCTGTGGGTGTCGCGGGGACACCCCTCAACTATAGCTTAGTCAGTCGCTGAGGTGCGCAAACCGTCGCACCAACATAGGATTCAGTCTCTTCGTGACGGCACAAACTGGTTTCTATCCATCGTTTCAAATGCTAGATATCAAGCTTGACTAGAGCACATCAACATGCTCATTAGAGATAAGATTAAACTCACCTTATCACAAAAGTCATTGCTATACGGGGCAACCAGTATGTAATCTAGGAATCAAGACATCAGTTCAGTTTTAGTTCCATAAAGATGTGTAAGTAGACAACGAGGAGGGATAGACTATTACACACTTACTCATGAATGGAGGCATACTATGGGACATAAGGAACACGTCTGAAAACAAGTGGAGAAAATTTCCGGCTGTCAGCATTCGAAGGTCATGACTACGCTGACGGGAGCAAATCACAACTTACTTTGGAAATTTAGTCGTAGGCATGCCAATAGGTTTTGTGCTTTTGTTCTCGCCCATTGTGGAATACACTTCTCCATCACAGTAACTTGATTAGCGTCTGAACCCCAAACAATCAGGATTCTCTGTTGTGGATGGTTTTCAAAAGCAGAATTGTGAACTAGCGAAATATTCCCCACGTCAGATATTTCACGAAGCTGACGATGAATTTTCAAGCTTTATAAAGTATCTCTGCAATTGCTCACCAGTTGCCCCAGAACTACAAGTTGTTTCATATTAGATTATAGCATCTGCGTATTTGTCTGTACAGAGGAGAAAAGCCTCAAATACTGTTGGATTTGGATGTTGATGCGTAGCACGATTTCGTCTGAACAAACTTTTATGAAGAAATGATCGGACAAAACTTGTTTGTTATTGAACTGCATCATCCAGTGCACAGGTTTTGCTATCACGAACCCAAAGACTTTGAGGGTAGTAAGTAGAAACGAGGAGAAGTTAAGCGGAATGATGAACGTTTGATACCCGTGTCGTCACCTGTACAGATAAATTCGGCTACTGTAGTGAAGTGAAGTGAAGTGGTCTTCGTTTGTGCTCTTCAGCAACTGTTGCAAATCCCAAAGAGATGCGCAAATAAAAAAAAACGTGCGAAAATAAGCCATACACAAGTCGATGATCCCGCACACAGTATGGCTTGACGCCCCACTCGTCTGAACAAACCAACGTCGCGCAAAATCATCCTGTAGAGTTATCCTTTTCTCAGCCCGTCGTATGCGCCTGATTGGAGAAGACCAGCTGCCTTCCAGTCAGCTATTACCTCATGCAATAGATGAGTGACAGTGAGAACAAGCTCGACTCTGTTCATTTGAGTAGCTGGTAGGTCTCAGTGATGTCACGAGAAAAGAAATAATCAACAGACAAGTGCGAATCTAGTTGGTGAGGATCATATGAGGCGCTACCGCTGTTGACTATCACAATAGTTGTATACATTAGCGGAAATATCCTTCCACACTCTTTTTAATGGGTCCAAACTCACCACCGATGTGACCCTGATTGGGAGTGTGAATTGCTTTTACGGGCGCATTTCCCAAATGCTCAAATTCATGAAATGATCCGTCAGGTGCTCAACGACATTAGTAGAAATCGTTTTAGGTTTCCGCTCACATTTGCGGTGCGTATGAATGCCCTTAATTAAAGGCAGACAGTTTTGCCGAGCACGATGTTCGACAATGGCTTCTTCGAGTTATGGACGACCAGGAGTGTAATTATCGCTTCAATAGCATTCAACTACCCCTGGATCTTAGAATCTCCTGAAAAACATCATAAGCAAGATATTCAGCTGCGTTCCAGATAAGTCTCCCGTCAAACCCAAATGGATATGTAAATGAGTGCGTTTGTCCTTAAGACATTGTCTCGACCTTTAAGCTAGATCATAATTGTGAGATTGCGATCCATTCCATGATATCGCACCGAGTGGTGACTATATGAAGCGAAATGCCAGGCGCTCTGATCGACAGATCTGACGGCATTAGGGATGAGATGTGTACACCTACGTGTGTATTTTGATAATAGAATTCGCATTGTTCTAGTGCCCGGAAAACCTCAGCATTACAATGCGACGATGAGCCAATAACACAACAGTCGTTCAAGTAAGGGATAACTCAGGCGATCGCTTTTGGAAGGCTTCAGTCGTTTATACGCCATCGTCAATCACTATCCGAGCCGAGCGTCCACAGCGGCTGGCAGACTAAACGCTGGGGAGAATCATCAAAACGGGGTCTGCTTATCCGTTTTTCCCACTACACCCACCCGAACCAAACTGAAATAGAAGAGATAAACTCATGTGATTTTGACCTGTGATGAAGATGCTCATCCCTCTGGGATGATCATCACTTCATGTTTGAACTTACCGTAGGTGTCGCTTTTCTGCCCCACCCCAACCACTGTTCCACACCCCTTCCCATCACCGGTAAGCAGTCGGTTAACGCGCCACATTAGGAAGTCGTAAGATTCTCCCTGTTGATGTGGTGGAGTAAGCTTGTCCCCGTCGACCTTGATCGTGTAGAGAAGCTCTGTTGCCTTCGCTTGAACCAACTGCATGGAATGGTAGTGACAGTCGGAAAACAAGCCGGAATCCCAATGCTGTTGGGCTCGTTTAACCAGCTAGCGTGAAAAGAATGCACAATGTGGACGCGTTGACGTCACATTGGATAGGTGAATCCATGTTTAGTTGGCCAATAAAGTGCGGACGTCATTGCAACATGCATTAATCGCCCGGACGTCATAAACTTGTTCTTCCACGACAAAAAATCTGAAAGATTTTGGTCGTTAGAACCAGCAATATTATAGCTTTAAAAATGTCAGGCTCATGGGGCGAAGTACTGAGCAGTCACTTCTATTTCATCGTCTTCATTAGCCCTTGTTGCGTAACAAGCATTGCAGTGAAATACGCTGGTTAAATAAAAGCAGAAAAAAGTTTGGGTGAAAAACAGTTGTCTGTAAATTTCCTTGGTGCTCAGCTGAATCACAAATGAATCGCTGGTGTATAATAAACGGGAGTTTATAGGTTCATCGTATGAGGAAATTTAGCCATCTGTCGGGCAGTTACGTTTCCAGCCGATCGGAGCTCTGTTGTATGAGTACGCCTGCATGAAATCGATTAAATCCTATTAAGACACGCCACAAGTCAGTCATGACCCGAGACGTGAATGATCGAAGCTGTGTTTTGAAAAGTATTT